CTGTTTGGGTTTCTTCTCTGCTTTCAGGAAGGCCCAGTTAGGATATCCACATTGCTCTAGAGCCTGTCTTGTGTGGGATTTCTCCTTCTGCCTGGCTCCTGAGCTAGTGGGGATGCTGTCTGCTCTGTGATACAGAGTCCTGATGACTCCTACCTTGTGCTGCAGAGGGTGATGGGAGTCAAGCCACAAACACTGGTCTGTGTGGGCAGGTTTGCGGTACACCTCAGTTTGGAAATGTCCTCCATCAGAGACTGAGACCTCACAGTCCAAGAAAACCAACCTGCCATTTTTTACATCTTCTCGTGGGAACTTTATCCGCAGAGTTGATGTGAAGATGAAATGTTGGACTTCCTGAGATTTAATTTTAACTCAGGTGTCATGAACAAGATGTCATGAACATACCTGAACCAATGATTTGGTGGTGTCCCTGAAAAGGACGCCAAGGCTCTCTTTTCTACCTGTTCTTTCTTTTCAATGATCCAGTCCTCCGACACAGAGTAATATTGTGTATGCTGTTCGGTGTCAGGGCTGTGATCAGTCTTACATCGGGGAAACTAAACAGCCACTGGCCAAAAGGATGGACCAGCACAGAAGAGCAACATCATCAGGCCAGGACTCTGCAGTCTACACTCATCTCCAGGCCAGCGGTCACTCTTTCAGGATGAAGATGTTCACATCCTTGAGAGGAACAATGGTTTGAGAGAGGAGTAAAGGAATCCTTGTTCAACTGTCCTCCTCTTACAATGCTGTTATTGCATCACTCAGCCCTCTGTGAATAGGAAGCGGCCATCAGGGAACTAACGCGCAATTGTTGGACTGATGGTCCTCCTTTTCCATGTGAACATTTAGTTTTGTCTGTCAGCAGCAAACTGGTTGATCCAAGGTGCTATTTATAAGACTTGTTTGTTGCAGCTCCTCAGACTGACAAAGACTTTTGGATAAAAGACGAAAAATTTCAACAAAGAAGAAGACCAGGTCCAGAGGACCTGACTTAACCTGGTTATATATATAAAAAAATCAGACAAAGACATTGTTCCTGTTGCTGAACCTACCTCCATGCTGTGGATCTCCAGCTGGCTGACATTGTCCTGCGCTGAAAAGTGTGGAGCGATCCGTATGAGCTGGCCTGCAGGTCCGAAACTCACCACAGCGTGAGGGACGGTGAACTTCAGGGGAGCGGAGATGTGATGCACAGCTTCACGCTCTGAACGGGTATGAAGCAGAGGAGGTGAGGGGGCAAACACGGAGTGAAGCAGGTGTGAGACTCCACTAACCTCCACCTGAAGTGACGGCAGGCTGTGTGTCTGGCTCACACTGATCCGCTCCGTTCATGTACTGACTCAGCTCGTAGCTGCTGGAGGACAGTCCTGAGGTTCTGAAACGTTCCAGTGTCCCAGGATGAGAAGAAAAAATGTCCTCACTGTCTTTAGAAGGTCTGTCTTCAAAGTCACTGAAGTATTGCTGGGAACTGTCCTGTACCGGGTTGTACCTGGATAAATATTAATGTATGCATTTCCACATTCCCTCTGTGGTTCACAACCAGAAACATTATCACCCGCCTCGCCTTTCAGACACGGACAATAAAAGTTGTTTAGAAGTGTTGAAGAGCAAGGCTGCAGATGGACTAGGTATGTTCTAAACTTTCAAACAATATGAACCAAATATTCCTTTGAGCAGTTGTTTTTTACTGAAGGCTCACCTGTACTCCTCTGTCTGGAGGCTCCCTGCACCTTCCTGTCTGTGGCTTCTCTCGTGGTATTTACCAGCTCTTCCTGAGTCCGCGAGACTCCACTGTCCACCATCTGAACAAGCAGAAAACAGTATTATACTTTTTTTAACCAAATGACTCATAACCCCAATTTTGACAAAAGTGGAACATTGTGTAAAACAAAAATAAAAACAGAATGCAATGATTTGCAATATTTGCAATCCATCTGTTATTCACAGTGAAATATAGTAAACATATCACATTTTAAACTGAGACAATTGTAATTTTTGGGGGGAAAATAAGGTTGTTGTAAATCTGATGGCAGAAGAACATCTCAATAAAAGTTGGGATGAGGCTGTGAAAAGTAGTGGTTCGATGAAGAAACAGGTGGAGGAACATTTGGTGAATAATTAGGTTAATATTGTCAACAGGTCAATAAGAGGACTGTGTATACAAAGAGACTTTCAGAGAGGCTGAATCTCTCAGAAGTAAAGATGGGCAGAGGTTCGCTAGTCTGTGAAAAGTTACAGCTAAAAATAAAGGAACAATTTCAGCAAGATTTATCTCATCATCTACGGTTCTTCATCAAAATTATTATGATTATTTCTGCTATAGTTTCAATTATTTCATCTAATTAGCTGTTTTTATGCTAATATTAGCTTTTTCAGCTAATTCCACTTTTTTTGCACTCATTTCAACTTTTGTGTTATTTCTGCTTTCTCCTGCTGATTTACTCTTGTTCTACATTTTCAGTTACGTTTCAACATGTTGTTTTTTTAGCTAATTTCAGCTGTTTTTCAGCAAGTTCTTCTGCAATAAACATTCACGCTGCATTTTCGCAGGAAATGCCACTTCTCTAGTTAAATTAGAAATCCCCTCATTTTAACACAAAAACAGACATTTTCTCAGTTTAAACACTGAACATTTCTATTCTGTTCCACTGTGAATTAAATATGGGTTTACTGTTTTCTGTTTATATTTTACTGAACCTTTTGCTTTTTTTAGAATTTTGGTTGCGTTAAAGTGTGTCTTTACTTTACCTGTACCTTGTTGTGCATGTTGTCCTCTATAATGAGAACTGCCTCTGTAGTCCCAGCGGTTGTGGGGAGGATAGTCAGAACTAAGCCTGAACACAGAGGAGTAGCTTACTTTAGTCAACAGATTGATGCATCTTCAGCTGTGTAGTCTTGCACACCCAGCATGCACTTGGCAGGAGAAAAAGAGAATCTGAAGCTCAGTCGCTTATATCATGAACATGAACCCACCTGGACGGAGATCTCTGGTGCTCTTGCCACCCATAACCATAGACGTACTGCTGAGAGTTGTAATGAACCCACTCAGGCCTTGCAGGTGGAGAGGTGAAAGGAGACAAGTATCGGGGGTCAGGATGAGCCCAGTGTGGACCCCTGTCTCTGGGGTCTGGTGGAAGGAAGCTCACATCCCATTCCTGCTGAGCAAACCTGGAGTCTGTTGTTCTGTGGGGATACCTGCTGGAATCAGACCAGTGCTGACCTCTCTGATCCATGGGAACTCCTCAGCGCAAAACACCTGAAGGGAACACGAGACGGGACAAAACAGGAAGTTCACAGTGTTTGTTTTTAAATTTAAAACATAATTTGCGTAAATAAAAGTGTTGTTGAGGTACTTACAGCTCACACATGCCAGACTGAGTCAAAGTCCATCCAGCAGCTTCCACATCATTTCATGGGAAACACTCATGAGCTCATAACAATCCAGACTGATAACAAGAGGACAAAGTTCTCCCACTTCGACCCAAAGCAGGAGGCGTCAGTCCTGATCAGCTCTGGCCTTTAATTCTCCTTTAATAAGCGTGATGTTCTCACAGTGCAGTGGGGGCTCCTGCATTCTCACTGAGCTCAGAGTAAAGAGTGAGCAGCAGTCCATCCTCAGACTGATGGTAAAAAAATCAAACACATTCTTTTCCTGACGGAGTCCCGCGAGAGAAGGCGCGTGCTGTGATTCACGTGGGGGAAGAGCAAACTTTGTAATGTTGAGTGTTGCCACGTCGTCGGAGGGGAGGACCAGTTAAAACTGGGCTGGTCTCTGGTCAGGGTGGGCTGATGATGTTTTAGGGAAACACTGACCTCAAATCAGCTCAGATACATCCAAACCTGGAGCTTGGAGTGGTTTGACAAACTGGGACTGCAGCCCTCATTAAACACAGACCTTTGCTTTTATAGGTGTTTTAAACTAAAGTCATATGAAAGGAACAGGTCTACTGTTTTTTATTTAATCAGCAACCATTTCTCCTAAACTAAATTAACTTAACTAATGCAACTAGATTGTTTTACTAATCACTAAGTCAGAATCTATTCAACTGAATGAGATAAAAAAAATAGCTTGACTAAACTAAACTAAACTAACTACATTAACTAAACTAATTCAACCCTATTGATTTAACTAAACTCAGTACAAGACTAACTTAGCTTGGTTAACCAAGCCTAACTAAACCAAATTCAACTAAATAAACTCCTAACCAAAAACTCACCTTTGTAGAAATCTAATATATATATATTTTTTTTCTTTCTTTTTCTTGAGTTGATAAAATTAGTTTGTAAATCGTTGCAGTGACAATTTCATGACTAAAAAGTAAAAAAGAAAAAATTTAAGTGAAAATGTGAATTAATAAAAATAGTGTTAATCGCTTAAGCGTTCTGGCCTATATGTGACAGGTAACACAGAGAATTTTGTCAGTTTCTCTCCACTTTGATCTGTTTTATTTGTGATCATTAATAACAAGATTATAGATCTTGGTCTTTTCTGAGTAAAACACCTTCCAGAACCTTCAGCACCACTTATTAAAACATTCAGGTGAACGTATGTATGGTATGGTATGGTATAAAGTTTATTCCTTTTAAAAAAGTACAAAACAATTCCATAACAATATAAAAAAGATACAAAAGATTTAAAATGAAAGGCAGCAGAAAGAAGAAAAAATCTTATTATATCTGCCCCTTTTTTCAAACAATTATTTCAATCATAATAATTTTCAAGTAACAGAACAAAATGAATAACTCTAATTTTTCTAATTCTAATACAAAAAACACACTAAGCTACTTCATATATATATTTTTTTATTAATCCAGTTTTGATCTTTTTCTTAAATGTACACATTGGCTTGGCATTTTTAACATCACTCTCTAGACCATTCCACAATCCAACTCCTTGGATTGAGGTAGACCTTCCCTTCAGACTAGTTCTGAATTTTGGTTTGACAAATATAGAATAGAATAGAAACAGCCTTTATTGTCCCAAGGATGGGAAATTCCAGTGTATCAGCAGCAACAGCAGCAACAGATAAAAAGATTAAAAGATTTCACACAAAAGTTCCTAAATGTTAATAAACAACACAATATATAAGAAATAAGATATACAATATCAATAATAATGTTCAATATGTATTGGAACATTGAGAATGGCAGACTATTTACAGTACAGTATTACAGGCAGAGTGTATGTTTAAGCAGAGGTCAGCATGTATTTAATCCTTATTGAGTTTGTTGGGAGCAGTGATGGTTGTAGAGTCTAACAGCTGCTGGGGTAGGACCTGGGTAACGCTCCTTTGTGCATTTAGGATGCAGTAATCTGTCACTGAACGAGCTCTCCAGTTCAGCAACAGCTTCATGCGTGGGGTGGGAGACGTTGTCCAGCAATGATGTTATTTTAGCTAAATATCTCTATCCCCTTAAGATTATAACAACTTTGTCTTTTAACAAAATGTATTTGGATATTTAATGGTAATGTGTTATTTTGAGCCCTATACATAACTGATAAAATATTGTAATCTACCAAATCATGGAACTTCAATAACTTCAGTTGATAAAATAATGTGCTTGATGGGTGACTGTAATGCTTTCTGGTGATGAGTCTTACAGCTCTTTTCTGTAAAATAAAAATAGGCTTTGTAAATGTTTTACACGCTTTCCCCCAAACATCAATGCAATAGATTAAATGTGGAACAATGATTGTGTTATACAACATGTACAGAGCTTTATCATTTAATAATTCCCTAACTTTGTATAGTACTGCAATAGATTTAGCTATTTTTATTCTTACAGAATTTATGTGATTTTTCCATGTTAGCTGTTCATCAATGATTACACCCAAAAATTTCATCTCATTAACTCTACAAATCTCAACACCATCAATTTTAAATGGATCGTCAACAGTTTTCTTTTTGTTACTAAATATCATGTATTTAGTTTTATCTAAATTTAATGATAATTTATTAATTTTAAACCAAGTTTGTATTTTATCAAATTCTGTCTTCTTCAATTCCAACATCTGTTTTACATTTTTACCCAAACAAAAAAATGTGGTGTCATCTGCAAAAAGGACACATTTGAGGAGTCCTGATACATTCACTAAGTCATTCACATATAAAATATATAACTTTTGTCCAAGTACAGAGCCTTGAGGAACTCCACAAGTGATATTGCAGAGGTCAGATCTTACACCATTTATTTGTACAAACTGTTTCCTATCTTTTAAATAGCTAGATACCCAGTGTAATGCTGGTCCTCTTATACCATATTTATTTACTTTTTCAAGGAGAATAGTGTGGTCAGTAGTATCGAATGCTTTTTTTAAATCAACAAAAATACTAACACAATACTGTTTTTGATCGACAGCAGTAGTTATTTGTTCTATTATTTCCATGAGAGCCATTGATGTAGAGTTTTTTGCTCTAAACCCATACTGACTGCTACTTAGAATGTTTTGTTTAGTAATAAATTTATCTAATCTGGTCACAAACAGTTTTTCTAGAATTTTTGAGAACTGTGGTAATAAGGATATTGGTCTATAATTATTGAACACACATTTATCACCATTTTTAAAGAGAGGAACTACCTTTGCTACTTTCATATTGTCTGGAAATATTCCTTTTGAAAATGATAAATTACAAATATATGTAAACGGCTCGATAACATAACTCATTATGTCCTTTACAAACATCATATCCATGTCCACCCAGTCTTTTGATCTCTTATCTGTAAGATTTTTTACAACATTCATTATTTCTTCTTTGTCGGTTCCATTAAGAAAAATACTGTTGTCACAACTTATAACTGAATGGTTCACATTATTGTCTACTTTTGGTATTTTAGCTGCAAGCTTGATCCAACGTTCACAAAATGATGATTAAATCCATTTACAATTTCATTTTCATCATGGATTTCATTATCATCCTTCAAAAAATATTGTGAAATACCTGTTTTTGCTTTATGACTTTTCAGAACACTATTTATTACTCACCATGTTGCTTTCATATCACCATTACTTTTATTTAATAAATCACTATTATATTCCTTCTTGTGTTTCCTTATAATCACTTCTAATTTATTTTTATACTTCTTATATTTCTCTTGTGCCTCTTGTGTTCTCAATTTCAAGAAACATGTATACAAATAATTCTTTTTTTTACAAGCATTTCTCAACCCGTTCGTCATCCATGGTTGGTCAACAACATTTCTCTTTGTATAATTATTTTGCACACAATTCTTTTCATACAGAGCTCCTAAAATATTCATAAACTCATCATATGATCTATTTACATCATGTATGGACTGTGTATGTGTGGTTTTGACCCTGGGTGAGAAAATCCACAATGAATTATAACTTGTGTACCGCTTTCGTTTTTTAAATTTATGACATTGTATGTTATGTGATCATTCCACCATAGAACTTCAAATGAATGAGAGGATTTTAACATCTAACTATTTAAACCAGCTTGAGATTGAAGAACTATTTTAAAATTAATCCATCAGAAATTGACCCCATAAAGATTAGATAACAAAATTAATAAACGAGCAGAATGTTCATGAATCTTTGCCATCAAAGAAAGTGTTGGGTGTTTGGTATTTCAACATCTGGACCACTCCATCATGAATCACCTCACAACAAAACCAAAGAAGCACTTTGTCTAACTGTTAAAAAAAATCAAGCCCAAATGATAAATCCAGCTCCAATCAAATCTAATTTCACTCTTTTCTATTTTATAATTCACTACATTTGCATAGAGTACAGAACAAAATGCCAAAAAGTGAAATGTTACCTAAGAAAGCCATTAGATTGCATCAAACCTTGTGTTGCAGTCTCTCATTCTGAGCTGCCTGGAGGAGACTGTGGGAAGAAATGATTCCCTTTAAACAGGAAGAAACCTCCAGCACGATGACGGGTCATCTGCTTCAACTGGTTGGAGTTCGAAAGGACACAGTAGCAACACAGACAAATAGAGAAGGGCTGGTCCAGGTCTCGTTTTTATGGTCCAGGTCTAGTTTTCATGGCCTAGGTCTAGTTTCTATGGTACAAGAGTGGTTTCTATGGCCCATGTGTGTTTTTTATGGTCCACGTGTAGTTCCTATGGTCCAGGTGTGGTTGGTATGGTCCAGGTATAGTTTCAAAGAACCAGGTGTAGTTTCTATTGTCCAGATGTGGTTTTAAAGTTCCAGGTGTGGTTCCTATGGTTCATGTGTAGTTTATATAGTCCATATGTAGTATCTATGAACCAGGTCTAGTTTGTTTGGTCTAGATGTAGTTTCTATGGTCCAGGTCTACAAAGTAGTTTCTATGGTCTAGGTCTAGTTCCAATGATCCAGGTATAGTTTCTATGGTCCAGGTTTAGTTTCTGTGGTACAGGAGTGGTTTCTATAGTCCAGGTTTTGTTTCTACAAGAAGATAGACAAACCAAAACATGTTAAAGACATAAATAATTACAAATACAATCAGATAGAATAGAGCAAGTAAAGACAGTAGCTGATTAAGGAAATGTGGTCAGTTTTTCCTCCAGCAGTCTATGCCTATAGCGGAACTGAAAGACCTCTCAGGAAACCAAACCTGACACTAGCTATAGGATTTATCAAAAGGAAAGTCTTCAACCTGATCTTAAAACACCCCATCTGGTCGAAGCAGATGGCTGCTTGTCTTGAACCTGGTTCTGCTGGAGTTTTTTTCTGTTAAAAGGGAGTTTTTTCTTTCCACTGTTGCCTTTGTGCTTGCTCAAGATGTGAGACTAGGACAAAGTGAAGATTCAACATAATCTGCTGGCTTCTTTAGATCATTTTTACCAATTGGTTTTTATAATGTATGTGAATGTTTCTGTTTGGTGCCATGAGACGACTTCTGTTGTGACTTGACCTATAGAAATAAACTGAATGTAATTTAATTTAATTTAATATAAAAGTAGAGAGTGTCAACCTCACGGACACTGAAAGTTGTTTCCACAAGAATCGGGAGCCTGATAATTGAAAGCTCTGCGTCCTGTTCTACTTTTAGGAACCACAAGTAAACCTGAAGTCTGAGAGCGAAGTGCTCTGTTAGGAAAATACGAAACAATAATTTCTTCAGTGTGCATTAAATTGAGGTTGGAAGCTTTGTATGTTAGGAGTAAGATTTAAAATTCTGCTTTTAATTTGATAGGGAGCCAGTGGAAATAAGCTAAAATTGATGATTTTTCCTTCTACCGCCAAAAAGAACTAAAAGAAATAATGTCTTTATTTTACTGTTTTATTTTAATACGACAATAATCTAAAACAATAATAAATGATGGATACATAATACTGTTTGATTCTAACAGGTTTATGTTGAGTTCTTGTCCAAAATGGCCGCCGGGTGGCGCTATAGGAACACACAGGAACCCGCCGGGTTGAAACCGAGCAGTGTGTCAGCATGTGACGGGTCCACCTCCAATGGGACGGGTTTATGTAAATCGGTTCTGGGCTCACAGGACGTTTTACTACAGAGAAGTGAGTCCACCCGGCACACAGAGACCGGCTCAGGTCTGGACCAGGACGCTGTCGGACACCGAACCGTCTGGATGTGCAATATGACTTTGGAAGAAACCGGCGGAGAGCGCTCTACAGAGAGGTGTGTTAATGTTTCATTGATGCTTTTCTTCTAGGAACCCGTCCACTCCACCTTGTTGGACCTGGATTATGTTTGTGTTCCTGACTCGTCTTCTCTGTTTCTGCGTTAGCATTAGCTCTTTAGCTGATGTAGCTGGATGTGTCTGACAACTGTCCGTCGCGTGACGTCACGACAGCCATGCATCGCTCAGAAAAAAAAGCACTTTTGTTGAATTTCTGCAACTTTTCTCGTTGCCCCAGGATGGACTCGGTGGCTCAGGCTCTGGAGGAGGTGCTGAGCTCTGCGTTGCCTCAGGGTTGCATCACTGTGGGAGTGTATGAAGCTGCAAAGTCTCTGAATGCGTAAGTTACTGATGACCTGAGTGAGAGTGGGGCTGCTGCTCCTCATCCCCTTCCTCACCAGATTCTTGTTTGCCATCCAGGGATCCAGACAATGTGGTGTTGTGCCTCCTGGCTGCAGAACATGAGGATGTGGCGCTGCAGATTCACTTCACCTTGATCCAAGCTTTCTGCTGCGAGAACGACATCAACATCCTGCGGGTGGGCAACATGAGGCGCCTGGCGGAGATCCTCGGCGGGGTGAAGCCTGGAGGGGAGCCCATGGACCTGCACTGTGTTCTAGTTACTGTAAGCATCATTAGTCACGTCCGTTAACCCATGTTGCTGTGAGCAGTCACATGTGGCATAAACCAGAAATTTAATTCAAGATGGTCACCACAAACACAGAAATGGCTCTAAAAAAAAAAGTCAGTCAGATTTGCAGATATTGTGCTAACAGAGCTGAGGGACATCCTCAACTCTCACGTCAGTTTGAGCATTGACACATTTAGTATTACAACATTTACACTGTGGCACGAAACGATCAGTCTGCACACTTTATGAACCCCTTCTGCTCCTTTCCTCCTGCAGAACCCGCAGTCGGCCCTGTGGAAGGACCCCGCCCTGAGCAAGGTGAACAGATTCTGCAGCGACAGCCGCTGTTTGGATCAGTGGGTTCCGGTCATCAACCTCCCCGACCGGTGAAGCCTCCGGGAGCATCGCTGTGTTGTGTGTGCATTCTGGGGAAACTGCACAAGGCCTGTGTTACTGTCTGTGTTGGACTTGTTTGAAAAGCCCTCCCTGCGCCCCCCCCTTCACCAGAGGAGCAACGGGGAAGTCGAGGAGGGAGGGGGGTCGAAGAACGAGGAAGGGAAACGTTCCAACGAATTCGCCAGGTCAGGGTGAAGTCGTGCGCCAAGGGTGACTCAGCAGTTCTGTGTTCCTGGATTTCCACCGCACGACTGCCGAGAAAGAGTTCTTTCCGAGGAAACTGAATCATGCGAGCACGCAGCCGGGGTTACACGTGCAGGTTCTGGAGGACCTGGCTTTGCTCCAAGAACTGGACCAGACGTGAAGAACCTGTGAAAGTTTGACCAAATACAAAGCATTTCTTAAGCAGCACGTTTATTTATCGCTATTTAAGACTCGATAACCTAAAAAGGGACAGTTTTCTCTACTTTTTTTTATTTTTTATTATAACTCAATGGGCATGTTTCGAATTGTCCGCTGATGTTTGTACGCGTTTGAATGATTTCATGAGCTCTATTTATTGTGCACAGTTCACTGCAATTTGCCTTGAAATAAACAAACAGCAGTTCTCGAGGTGGTTCTGGTGATTTCCAGTTATTACACGTCCAGAGTGTCACAGGAAGTCATGAGGTGTGTTATCATCTTTCGCACAGAGCACAGCTTGTTTCATCATGAACTTTAGAGTTTATTGTGGCACGCAACCGGACCGGTTAAACCACTTGCGTATTCTGACAGATATTTAACTTCTCTTGCATCTTTTGGGATTTAACATGCTCGTTTGCAGGTTAAAACCAACACTTTAATTTAGTAATATCTTAACTCCACTGGGCATTCCTCCAAAATGTGCACGTTTGGAGGAATGCCCAGTGCAGTTAATCATGTGAGTGTGAGTTAGCTTGTTTTGCAAAGTGCTTTGCATCTATGCCAACCAAGCTAAAGCTAACGCTGACTTGGATAATTATTTAAAAGCGTGCACATCAGCCGTCACCTTTAAGGCCAGAGTTTGCCACTCAGATCTAGCTGAGCTGTCTGCAGGAATGTTCAGACCTCCATGTTGGGATGAACTAAACGAACTCGCCGCAGGAGAGCCAACTGTAGCTGTGCATCCACACCTCAAAGATAAGGACCAAAAAGTTCATATTTTGGACAGATGAGACAAATGGTTTAAGTGGGAGGGGGTGGAGGAAGCCATTTTTGTCTAATGAGAAAAAGCCTCAAAACAGGAGGAAGTCTCAGATTTCAGTTTTCTAAAACCTACAGTGTTTTTGTTTTTTTTACCCCACTTCAGAAGTTTTACAGCTAAACGGTGAAAACAAGCCATTCCATTTTGAATAAGACAAATGGACCACTTATATGTTCTTTGGAATTATTTAACTAACGCAAACATGTAAAGGCTGTTTTACTGTATTTGGTTTCTCCTTTCAGACTGATTCTCCGGTAGTTCCACTCCATGCATGTGACTCAAAACTGTGTGTGTGAGACAGGCAGACAAAGAGCCTAATGAGCCTCTGCTGTGGTGGGCGAGCACTTCAAGTCCAGTGGTCCCAACCCTGATCCTTGAGGAACACCATCCTGCATGTTTTAGTTGTTTCCTGCTTTGGCTCACCTGCTTTGAATGGATGGGTTATTAACAGGCTTCTGCAGATCCCGAGGAAATAATTAAGTCACTGTATCAGGTGTGTTGTACCAGAAGACCAATTAAAACAAGCAGGATGGTGTTCCTCAGGGACGAGTGTTGGGAACTACTGTGAATCCTGGTGCATAATGAAGCCTCATGCACTTGTTAAAAGATTGGAACTACACACACTCCAGACATTTTTAATTATGATAAAACATCTTCAGCTACAGAATTGAAGTCCAGATGTGTTTTTATTTAACTGTTTTTATTATAGGTTTTGTTACAACTCATCCAGTGGTTCATGTGAAATTTTGCTTACAGACACACAGACCCAGGCTAAAACATTATAAGTGCATTCACCTTTCAGAGGCAGGCAATAAAAATACCAAAAATAAAAATAATAGCAGTTAAGTAGCTCTCTGACAGTACAAAACTAAAATGTATTGGTGCTGAGAAGGGAGGGCCACAGCTTTCAACACTGAGGCTCATGGGACAGTGGGTGCATGAGGCAGGTCAAACAGGCCTCTGATAGCTGGAGCTGTACAGCTCTTCAGCTTCACGGCTAAAAATAGCTCCATGAATGAACATGCTCCCTGTGACCACTGACTCACCAACAATAGTGTGCAGTTTACACTCAGAGGCTGTCCACAAGTAAGTTTGCAGCCTCAGATAGGAAGATGGTGGTTAAGCTCCCTGTATGGTAAGCTGTTTGCATATTTATTCAATCTCCTTGAAATCAAGTGTCACTTTCACCTGGCTGTTTAGTGTTGTACGTTTGATGCACTAGTTCAACAAGCAATTCAATGTCGCACATTGTTGCGTGACTAGTTCAAGCAGAAGTCATGGCAGTCAGCAACTTTGCCTCTATCGCAGCCCCCAAAATGATGTCTACTTGTTGATTAATGACCATCCATCATTCATTTTCTTTACTCGCTTCTCTGTTCAGATTTGCAGCAGAGCTGGTGCTGATTCTGTTTGTGCCAGAGGCGGGGGACACCCTGGACAGGTCACAGGTCCATCACAGGACCACATAGAGACAAACGACCATTCGCAGCCTCCTTCACTAGTTACCTATGGACCTTGCATGCATCTTTTTGTTTGGAGGAAAGAAACCAGAGTACCTGGAAAAAACTGTGCAAACTCCACACAGAGAGACTGACCCTCTTTCTGGAAGGTGACAGCTCTAACCCTGCCATGCAGTTAACTACTGGACTAATGCAACATAAACATTAAAGTAGTCAACAAATAATCTTTGAAATGCTCAGTAATCAACTAGATGACATGTTTTTGTCCTTACTAGTCAACTAGTGTGCCTAAAACTTTGACTATGAATCCTTTGGTTGGCCTTAAGGGATTTTGATACTTATTAGTTATTTCATACAGCACTATCATAAGCTAGTTTTGTTCAGTTGTGCATTAAAAAAAAACCAACCAGTTGGGACTTTAAGCTCCTAATGTGGCAAGCTAGCTGACTAGTATAACTTGTGCTCCAACTAGTTGGACAATTGTGCTACTAGTTAGCAGAAATGTGTTAAAATTAAACACTTGTTGAACTAGGGCACTAGAGTTTTGAAATAGTGTGAGCATATGTGCAACTAGTAGAGTGTATTCGGCAAAAGTGATATCAAGGATGTGGAATAGATGCAGAAACGGCCTGCCATACCATAGAGATGCTATCAAAGCAGGGTGACCTGCATTTGAGGAGGGGAAACTGGGTCAAAATGCAGAAAACTGGAGGAGTCAGATTGTAACACTGGCCTCCACATAGCCCCCTCTAACCAGACAGCCTTATATATAATCTGTTTTAGTAAAATATCTCAAGATGGTTTGAATAAAACATTTAGAGATTCATCCTTGGAAGTACATCTGATGTATGTGAGATGTAATCATTCTTCTCTATGGAAGTTTCTTAACAGCTTAATTAACTTAAATAATCTAAAGGAGATAAAGAAAAAAATATCATTGGCAAAAGTATCAGGAATAATTTCATTTTGGTCCATTATTTGAACTGTGGGCTCAGAAATAATGAAAAATCACAAATTGTTTGAAACTGTTCAATAACAATGATCGCCACACACTGGTTCTGCACTGGTAAATGGACTGATGGCTGGCAAGATGGAAAATTTGTTAACTTATCCAACAAATGATTTTTAAAACGAGTACTTCTTTTCTTAAACCATATAGAAACATTTTAAGTACACCATTAACACATTTTGTCAATCATTCCTTTATATCTTGTCAAGTTCCTTCTGGTTGGAGAAAAACAATTTCATAAAACATGAAGTCATGTAGTTAATGACCGGCCAGTTCATATTTGACCATTTCTAAGGTTCTCAAAAATACTGAAGCTGCACAACTGATGGATCATTTACAGGATAATCCACTTCTTCACCTACTTCCATTTGGTTTTAGATCAGGTTACGTAATAGAAACAGCAATAAGTTGCCCCAACAAAACTGTTAGTCTTTGAAGAGGAGCAATATGCTGTTTTCTTACACCTATAAAAGTGTTTGATACTGTCATCCAGTTTACTTTAGTCTAAATTGATTTCTTTTACATTCACATATAAAGGCTTAAAATTGTTTACATCTCATTATTTTTCCAGAATAAAGTTTTGTCAAGTCACATCTTTGGTCTGCTGATGAACCTTAAATGATGGTCTCTGTGTGTTTTTCAATCCAAAATCTTAACCAGCACTGTTTTAAAGTTAACAACCATCAAGTATTGGTGCATCCTGGATTCACTGATCCCCGTTGAAATATTTCTACAATGTGACTGGAGGTCATCTGAGGTCAACTCAGTAGATTAGACAAAATTTGAAAGACACTCACCTGTTTGTAACAAGTTTTTTAATCCCCCAGCTCAGAGCAAAGATGGGGAATAAGAAATACCCTCCGTCCATCAGTCTGTCTATTTAGTCAACTGTAGAGCATGATAACTTGAACATTAAGCAACTTGCCAACTTCCATTTTGGTGTGTGGCTACATTTAAGTGTAAACAAGTCACTATGAAAAATTGGACTGCCAAGTCGGCTGGCAGTAAACAAAGTTGGTAACTATGCTTTCTAGTTTTTATGTTTAAACGTATAGTTCCCTCAATTGATTGAGGTGGCCAAAGGTTAATTTCTGGTGGACAAGGCCACCAATGGCCACCCTTCACTCTCTGGGATCCGTCACTGTGCTGCCTTGGACAAAAAAATAAAATCAAAAACCTCCCTCTGTTCTTCTCCACAGTATAACTCCTGCCCTCTTGGATATCTTGCACCAAAATCATCAAGGTTTACTCACATTCTCTGTTTAATTCCAGTCTAGAAAAAAAACATTAATGTTGAAAATTA